GTGGCTCACCCCTATAATCCTAGCACCCTGGGAAGCTGAGGTAGAAGGATCAAAAATTATAACCCAGCCTGGGCAATTTAGCAATTTAGCCAGGTAATGTAGCTCAGTGTGAGGGTGCTGAGTTCAGTCCCCAGTACTACAAAAATAACAGGGGAGGAGTAGGTATTAACTATTACACTCACTATGATACTGAGACATGTTAGAGACAAATTAAATTTGCAGTTGCTCTGAGAAGGCTTAATTATGTTAAAAGAGAGAGCAAGAAAGACAGGTGTTGCTATCATCTAAGTCACATAGCTAATTATGCCTTTTCCTATCTGAAAAGTGAGACCACGTATGAAAATTATGTTCAACAAGAACATTAACGGGGAAACCAGAATTAGAGGCGGACAAGTGAAGCAAGGGCCCCGTTAGCACGCAAAAACACAGCACAAACATTGCTAGGAACAGGGACGAAACTTTGCCTTTGTATCTCTTAGCAACTGAAGCCAAAAAGGAAACAAGGTCCGTTAGAAAATTCTTGGAATCCACAAAGGAAGCAAGAACCATTAGACAATTTTCAGAATCCCAAGACAGAAATGTCGAAGTAGCTTTGCCCGGTGGTGTTGGAACACCTTGTGAAATCACACAACATTCCCAACATCCTGAACTCTTGGGTTCCACAAATTTTTTTTTTTTTTTTTTTTTTTTTTTTTTTGCAGTACTAGGGATCCAGCCCAGCACTGGGGATCCAACTCTGTTTCTTAACAGTATCTGTGTTAAGCCTCTTGGATTGCCAGAACATAATAGCACAGATCAGCTAATTTAAACAACAGAAATCGGAGCTGAGGGGTATAGCTCAGCAGCACAGCGCCTGCCTGGCAAGCGCAAGGTCCTGAGTTCGATTCCCGGTACCAAAAAATGACAAACAACAGAAATCTAGTTCCTCTCAGTTCTAGATAACAGAAGTCTAAGATCCAGGGGCTGACATGTTCGGCTTCTTCTGAGGCCTCTCCTTAGCTCACAGACGCTACTTCTCCCTGTGGGCCACCCTCACCTGTCTTTCCTCTGCATGTGGGCCTCCCTGGTGTCCCCAAATCTCCTCTCACTAGGGCACAAATCAGACGGGAGCAGGACCCACCTTAATGGCCTTATTTTAGTGTAATCGCCTCTCTACAGACCTGACAGAGGCACATTCTGTAACACCGGCACTTAGGGCTTCAATATAAGAATTTGAGTTGGGGGGTGGGGACAAAATTGAGCCCATAACTGTATCCCGGATCCCTCTGTAGGGTCCAAAAGCTGCTTTACTTGGTTGACACAGTTCAAGGAGGGGTAATAGCAAGGTGATCCAAAAATAGAAAAAAAAATTTTTTTTATTTTTGTCTTTTTGAGACAGGATCTTGCTGTGTAGTTCAGGCTGGCCTGGAATTCACCATGTTGCCCAGGCTGACCTCAAACTCACGGCAACCCTCCTGCCTCAGCCTCCTGAGTGCTGGCATTGCAGGTGTGTGTCACTGTACCCAGCTTAAAAACAAAACAGAGAATTTTGGAGTTCTTCGTTGGTCCAAAGATAAGGAGATTTAGAGTAACACATAATACACAGAGTATTCATGATCTTCGAATATTTGAACTTTTAGGGGCCTGATCTGAGCTTTCACAGTAGGGATCCTACTTTGCTTGAATAACAACAATTCATTGCCCACTTATCCCACCCTGGCTCTGGCCTCTGACATTCTCATAAATTAGATGAGGTCCAAGATTGAAGGTGTCAAGTATGTGTATGAAGTGCTTACCTCTAGTGTGAAAGGGGCAGAGGAAATAACCCCCTTTTTTTTTTTTTTTTGTGACAGGGTCTCGCTATGTAGTTTAGGTTGGCCCAGGCCAGGCTGGCCTCAAACTCAAAGTGATCCTCCTGTCTCAGCCTCGCAAGTGCTGGGATTACAGGAGTGTACCACCACGCCCAGCAAGATTTTATATTTATTTTCACCTGTGTATGCTTAACGATACAGGCTAGAAGGATACACAAGAAACTAAAACCAGCTGAGCACTGTGGCACACATCCGTAATCCCAGCACTGTGTGGGGCTGAGGCAGGAGGATCACAAACTCAAGCCAAGCCTGGGCAACTTAGTGATTTAATGAGATGCTGTCTCAAAATAAAAAAGGGCTGGAGTGCAGTTCAGTGTGAAGGTCCTGGATTCAATCTCCAGTACTGGGAAAAAATAAAAAATAAAAAAAGATCTGAGCACACCTGGTTTTAAGGTTATAGCTTTAGTTACATTTTCCCTAGCCCCTTACACACCCATATCATTCATTCCTTTTAGTGGGATATAGAGCATGATGTTTGAGGTCGTTTTTGTTTGTTTTTGTTTTTTTCCAGCACCAGGAATCGAACTCACGACCTTGCACTTGCCAGGCAGGCGCTGTGCCGCTGAGCTAAATCCCCAGCCCCCAAGGCCGTTTTTCTGAGATGAATGTAGATGGGGCTGGGGATATAGCTCAGCAGCACAACAGCCTGCCTGGCAAGCGCAAGGTCATGAGTTCAATTCCCGGTACCAAACGACAAAAAACAAAAACAAAACAAAATGCATGTGGAGAGTAAATACCGTGCTGATTATTACGCTTAGATCCCTGTGCGTGGGAAAGGAAACCATCCTGTAGGAACAGCTGAGGGATTCCGAGATCCGGGGGGGGCGTAACTGGTACTCCAGGTGGGCTGCAGAAAAACCTGCAGGCAGCACTGAGAGACTCCTCAGACAAACAGACCTGCGCTGGTCTACCCTGAAGCTGGGACCAAAGTTCTGACCAAGGAGCGCGGTCCCATCCCTAGCCTGGAAAATCTCCAGACAGTGGCTTCTCGGCAGCCAGCTGACCACGGTTGGGGTCGGGGAGGAAAGCGAGAGAAGACGTGTGGTTAGGCGGCCCACCTTCCCACCAGCACCCCACACCGAAAGTTATCTCCAAACGCGACCCCAAGACCTGCTTTCTATGGGTCGCCCAGCTTGCTGGCTGTACGCCCCTCCCGCGCTGAAGGACACCAGCCGGAAATGCTGTGTTTGTCTCACCCGCCCCAAACCTGGCTTTGTGGTTGAGCTGGGGGTGCGCTTTGGGCTTTTCGACCTGAGCTCACTGCTCCTCAAGCGCTGCTGGGGGTGGGGGTTGCAGGTGACGCTTCAGAAGTGGTTTCCACTTCTGAGTCCATCAGATAGAAAACACCAGCTGCCGGCAGCGCGGAGGGTTCGTTATTTTTATCTAAAGGCGCCTCTGTCTTTTCTCAGTAATTTTAAAGCCTGGTGTTTCTCAACGCCTGTGTGTGTGCGTGTGCGTGTGCGTGTGCTGGGAACGGAGTCAGGCTCCTTGTGCGTGCTAAGCCAGTGCTCTACTGCTGAGCCACACACCCAGTCCTCAGCGCACACTCAAGGTTTTTTTTTTTTATATCTGGTTGAGATGTTTAAGAACTTCTGATATATAACAAAATTCACAAAACTTGACTTTAAAAAAAAAAAGTCTACAAACTGCCCAGCACCTATGAGAAAGCTCTTAAATTTAAAAGTTTCTGAAGCCCCCTTTGTAGTCTTGCTGCTCTTGCTGTCTTCTGTGCCTTGAACGGTTGCCCCTTTGCCATGGGCCACCCTGCCTTGGAGCCGGGTGATTATGACTGAACCCTCCACACAAACTGTGAGCTCAGTAAACCTTTCCCTCCTTAAAAAAAAAAGCTTTTGAAGGAAAGGAAGGAAAAAAGAAAGAAAGACAGAGAGAGAGAAAGAAGGAAAGAAAGAAAAAGGAAGAAAGAAAGAAAGAAAGAAAGAAAGAAAGAAAGAAAGAAAGAAAGAAAAGAAAGAAAGAAAAGAAAGAAAAGCAGAGGGAGGAAGATGACGGCGGGACTCCTAGTTCAGTCAGGCCTGGGTAGGGATGGAAGGCTCTTGGCCTCTTGGCCTGACCCCCTGGCTTTAGCATAGAGGGAGGTGCTACTCCTTAAGCACTTTCTGTGCGCTTGGCCCTGTGCAGGGTGCTTCTGGGCTGTTCTACTGTACATCTACTGAAATAAGCTACAGAGGGATTATTCTCCCATCTTAGAGGCGAAGGAAACTGAACTCAAAGAGGTTAACCGCTCAGTCATCCAGCCAGTGATAAGCCAGGATTTGAACACCGGTCTGAGTAACGCTTATGCTCCCTGCGTGGGGCCGGGACAGCAGCTCCCAGGCGGCATGGCGTTTACCTTGTGTTTGCCACACTTTGCCACCCGATCGGGGTGAGCCAAGGGCCGGCTTAGTATCACCCGCCTCGTATTTAACCCACGGCCTATAGTCCTGAGCTGCCTGGCTCTGGGCATTCGGGACCCAGGGCAGGAGGTGACGGGTGCATGGGGGATGCTGGGTGCCGCGTCTGATGGTCTGATGGTCTGATGGTCTGATGGTCTGCGCCCCTTCCGTCCGCACTAGCTTTCACCATCAACAGCATCCACATGCAGAGCCTGCCAGACTGGAAGGTGGAGAACGGGCAGAACGTGACCCTGCAGTGCGTCGTGGACATCAGCACCACCTCGCACGTCAAGCCGCGGCACCAGGTGCTGTTCTACAAGGACGATGCGCTCCTGCACAACGTCTCCTCCGTGAAGGACACAGAGAGCTTTCTGATCCCTCACGCCCGGGTGTTCAACTCGGGGATGTATAAGTGCGTGGTGCTGCTGAACAACAAGAAGAAGACCACCGGGGAGAACCGGCTGTGGGTGCAGGGTGAGTCTCCGGCGTCGGGGTGCAGGAAGGCGCAGGAAGCGTCACACAGGAGCATGATTAGTAACCGCACGCGGGCAGTGACACCAGCTCCTCTCCACGCGGCATGCTTCTTACTCGGCTGCTGGCTTTTTGCTAACCTGACAGTGCAGCATTTAGCCTGTTCCCAGTGTGCCAGGCTCTTTCTAAAATACTTGTCTTTGCATATGTTGTTGTTTCTTCTCCCGGGAATACCTTTCTTTATTTTTCTTTATTATTATTTTTCTCTCACTATGAAGTTCAGGCTGGCCTTGAACATCCAGCCCAGGTTGGCTTCCACCTTGCAGCGACCCTCCTGCTTCAGCCTCTCGAGTGCTGTGATTACAGACATCCCCCTACCACACCCAGTTACCCTTCTTCATCTTATCTTGGGAACTATACTTTCTAGCTGGGTGTGGTATAGTACATGTCTGTAATTCCAGCACTCCGGGAGGCTGAGGCAGGAAGACTGAAAGTTTGAGCTCAGGCTGGGGGATTTAGTGACTTAGCAAGACCCTGTCGTCTCAAAATAAAAAATAAATGAAACAGCTGGGGAGGTAGTTCAGTGTGAAGGCCCTTGGTTTAATCTCCAGCACCACAAAAAAACAACATAGCCAAACACACACGCAATTTCACTTTCTTCTTCAAAGCCCAACTCAGGGACTTCCTCTTTTCCTCTCTGACTCCTTAAAGTTGATCTCCCTCTGGGAGATCCTTATAGCTCATATGGTCTCTCTGCATTCAGGGGGATTTATTACCCGAAAGCCCACAGGGCTGTGGTAAGACATTAGATTCTGCAGTCTCCCTGCTTAGGTTTCTACCTATTTCCTTTTACCACTCTATACTTCAACATGCTTATCAGTAAAATGGGTACAACAGATATTCAACTCAGGGGATTAGGGAAGGTTAAAAGGTATCACACAGGTAGAGTGCTTAGTATCACTTACGGCACACGGTGTACTGCACTGTCAGCCATTTGCTCTACAATTGCGTTAGTCAACGACGGACTGCCAGTGTGGTAGCGTCCCAGAAGATCATGCCACCTAGTGATGCCAGAGCCATCTTAATTGGGGTAAATACACTCTGTGTCATAAAGTAATTTGCCCCTGTCATAAAGTAATACACGGCTCAGCCAGGCTTGGTGGCGCATGCCTGTAATTCTAGCACTCGGGAGGCTGAGGCAGGAGGATCGCTGCGAGTTCAAGGCCAGCCTGGGCTACAAAGTGAGCTCAAGATCAGCCTGAACTGCATATCAAGACCCTGTCTCAAAAAGACAAAAAAAGGGGGCTGGGGATTTAGCTCAGCAGCACAGCGCCTGCCTGGCAAGTGCAAGGTCGTGAGTTCAATTCCCGTTACTGGGGAAAAAAAAAAAGTAATGCACGGCTGTATTCCTCACAATCTGTCTGTTCTTCTAGACTATAAATCGTAAAGAGAGATAGTGTCTGGCCTATTTTTATACCCTAAAATATGGGATAAATGGAAGTCAACTCAACTCTAGCCTGTGGTTGGCATCAATAAATTACAATAATCATTGTAATACTTATAAATATTGGCTGTTTTTTTTTTTTCTCTTTAAACCATCTCAGTTTGGGAATCTGTTGTACCATTGTCCCAAAGGAACTGTATAAACTATTGAAAGCCCTAGCCAGACCTTGAGCATAGTTTATATTTTTCAGAGTACTGAGCATGTACATATCTGTGGTACCGGGCGGGGGTGTGGAGGAGGAAAAGGAATCCTCAGGCGGCTTGGCCACGGTGACAGCTGTGGGAGGCTGTGCCACTAGATCCAACTGGTACTAACTAGACTGTCTCCTTCTCCCCAGGGGTACCAAAGCCCAAGGTGACCCTGGACAAGAAGGAAGCCATAGAAGGCGGGGCCGTGACGGTCAACTGTTCTGTTCCAGAGGAAAGGGCCCCCATATATTTCAAAGTTGAAAAGTTTGAACGCGATCCAAAAGTTGTCAAGCTCGTAAAAGAGAAGACTTCTTTGGGACAGAATTTTGTGACCGTGGAGTTCCCGATTGGAGAACAGGACTATGTTTTATATTTCACCTGTCAAGCCAGGATTTCCTCGGGGTTCCAAACTGAGACTTCGGACACCACCAGGAGTGAAGAGGTCACTGTGACAGGTCAGAGTCCTGTCATTGTGTCTACAACCTCGTCATCATGCTGTGTGCTTTCTGGACGGGCATAGAGCCCGGCTTTGGAAAGGGAATCAATGGCTGTCCTGGGGGCTTAAGGCCTCTTCTTAATCATTTTGGTAGTATTTTTCAAACTTTTTGGGCCGTGACATATTTTATATATGATATATATTTTGTCAGGTGTGGTGGTGCATGCCTATAATCCCAGCACTCAGGAGGCTGAAGCAGGAGGATTGCTGTAAGTTCAAGGCCAGCCTGGGCTACATAGTGAGTTCAAAGCCAGCCTGAACTATATAGTGAGAATCTGTCTCAAAAAAATGAAAACCAATGAACAAACAGAAGACATCAAGTACAGTAGACTGGAATCTGTTTTTTAGGCATATTATTATTCAAATAATGTACTTCTATGAAGCAGTGTAGTCTGTGTAGCTGCCACTCTTGAGAGCTGTGGACTGGTCTTGCGGCCACACGAGGGCTCCTGTAATGGGTTAAGTGCATCCGGGAAGGGCAGCAGCCACGGCATTTCTACCCGCCAGGGGCCATTCTGAGGGTTTGGCCTTTGGGAAGCTCAAGGAAGTCAGAAACTGCAACCAAGAAGGCTCAGACAGAGAAATGAGCTGGAAGGAAAAGACACTTAGAGGTACCTAGGGAAGGAATTGAGAGGACAGGTTGGGTTTTTAAAATTAATTAGTAGGTCAGGCATGGTGGCGCACACCTGTAATCCTGCACTTGGGAGGCTGAGGCAGGAGGATCACTGTGAGTTTGAGGCCAGCCTGGGCTACAAAGTGAGCTCAAGGCCAGCCTGAACTGTGTAGCGAGACCCCGTCTCAAAAAGACAAAAAATTAATTAGGAGACACAGACTTTGGAAAAGCAAAAGCAGAAGAGTAGGAAGAGCCCCGGTTTGAACCTCAGTCCAACCGGCCTGTCCTCTTCTCTTGCAGCGTCCTTCTCTACTCCCAGGTTCCACATCACCCCCGCTGGGATCATCACGGAGGGAGACGACCTCCAAATCAAGTGCACCATTCAAGTGACGCACCTGGCCCACGAGACCCCAGAAATCATAATCCAGAAGGACAGGGAGATCGTGGCCTACAGCAGCAGCGGCCGCGAGACCATCTACTCGGTCATGGCCATGGTGGAGCACAACGGCAACTACACGTGCAAGGTGGAATCCAGCCGCCTCTCCAAGGTCAGCAGCGTCATGGTCAACATCACAGGTAAGGCTGCTCGGGAGGGCACTGCTCCTAGCGGACTCGGGGAGAAGCCGTGGCGCAACCAGCGCGGCCAGTGGGAGCCGGTCCTTTCCTGCCTCGGCTTGTTCAAGTGAACGTGCTCAGCCTGGGCTTTGGAACCTGTGGGGAGAAGCCGAGGCGCTGGACCGTGGTGGCTGAGTGCGCGGGCTCTGGTACCAGATCCCGGCCCCGGGGCTCACTTCCTCCGGGAGGCTGGGTGAGGTTCTGAGCATGCCGCAGCTCTGGGAGACGGGGTGGTGATGGCCCTCCCGTTACGGCGCTGGCGTAATGACCAGGTGAAGTGTTACCGGGTGTCTGTGCAGAAAAAGCGCTCAGGGGGAGCTAACAAGCGTCTCCTCGGTCAGAACCAGGCACTGTGTTAGACCCCACACGCAAGCCCTGTGTCAGGCTTGGAAATGAACATCAGTAAACAAAAAAAAAAATCGGAGCAATTCTCCATTGGTGAACACTGTACAAAGGCTTAGATGCACTTTTATTTCATGCTCATAAAACTCTAGGAGGGAGATGTTTTCATACCCATTTTATGGTTGTGGAAACTGAGGCTGGGAAGTTAGTAACTGACCTAAGAGTTACAGGGGCAGTGCAGGGCAGAGCAGGAATCATCCTCGGGCCTGTTTGCTCTCCACGCCTATATACTTAGAAGTTCCCTCTGACTTTACTCCCATGCCTGGCATTATTTCGCTCTAAATAACTTATTACCTTAAGTAGATGCACTATCTTTCTTGTGCTTCCACCGGAAGGGAGAGTCCTCTTCTGACCCCAGGGAAAGTGTTTTCTGTGCACACACCCGCTCACTCATCTAGGAAAAACCCTCGTGTGTGAAGCACTGTTAGTCACAGCTGCAGCCCTCGGGTCACCGGCGGTAGGCTGCCAGCGGCCTGATGTCAGAGCTACTGACTCACAGCGCTTGCTGGCAATTTAGCGAATCATTGAGGGTGACAAATCTGTTGACGGCCCTCGATATTTTTCACTGATAATATTTATAGTACCTTATTAGAGAAAAGTATTCATTCAGTGTATATCGATGCTGGGCAAAGTACTGGGAGCAGAGAATGATCAGAGACCAGTCTCTGCCTTCAAGCACTGCCCAGATTCAAACAGACCGGCCTGCGGCAGATTTTTACAGCATAGCAGGCTAAGACGTGCTGCCGGGGCCGCTGTCCCCGGATAACTTCCTACAAGGAGCCTTTCACGCCTCCAAGGTGAAGTTCAGAGCCCCTTCTATGGGCTGTACTGCACGTACCAGGTCTGAGTCACTCCCTAGACGTAAGCATTTGGAGTCCAGCGCTGTTTCCCATCCAGCGCTGCCCCCCCCATGCACAGCCAGGCGCCTGCCACAGAACGTATCTGCAGTGAGGGTTTGTGAAGTGAAATGTATGCGTAAACAAATACAGGAGTGAATGCGTGAATGAATCAACACCCGCTGCTTTACAAGTTATAAACTTTTCTTATCCATGACCGTGAAATAAATTGGACCATCAAACAAGCAGAACCTCTCAGTGGGTCCCAGGCACACAAAGAGCCATCGCTCTTTAAGGGTTCACCCAACGGGAACATAAGGATCAAAGGGGTTGGTTCTGCCCGAAGGGGCCGGGCCGTGGACCTCTCCAGGCAGGCGCTTGAGCGGATGCCCAGACACACCTCGTCCCTTTCCTCCTCGGTGTTTTCAGAACTGTTTCCCAAGCCGAAGCTGGAATCTTCCTCCACCCGTTTGGACCAAGGTGAGAGGCTGGACCTGCTGTGCTCCATCCCAGGAGCACCTCTGGCCAACTTCACTATCGAGAAGGAAGGCACCGTCGTGTCACGGGGCCAGAACTTCACCAAGATCACGGAAGGGTGGGACAGCGGGACGTACACCTGCACCGCAGGGGTCGGCAAAGTGGTCAAGAAAAGCAATGCCGTGCAGATCACAGTGTGCGGTGAGTGTGTCCTCGGGGCTCTGCGGGGACCTGGGATTGAGCGGGAGGTAGGAGGCAGATCACCGGTGAAGGCAGATCAGCCTCAGGCTGGGCGAGAACACGAGGGCAAGAAACATGGGAATTCGAGATCCAGACAGAGCAAGGGGTAGTCCTGCTCAGAGCGCACAAGAGAGACGCTACAAGGGTGGTGTTGCTGCCCAATGTCAAGGTCGGGGATTTGGCCCCGGATGGTCTGAGAGAAGGCTGAGGCAGGAGGATCACAAGTTCCACCCTAGCCTGTGTAACTTAGTAACTTAGTGAGACCCTGAATCAAAATAAAAAGTTTAAAAAGGAATGAGAAGGTAGCTCAGTGAAAATCCCCAGTACTTAAAGAAACCAAACAATTGATTTTTTAAAAATAAAAACAAAAGATCTAAAAAGATCTAGTTTTTACCAATATCCTAGCTGAGCAGAAGGGGTAGGACTTCCAGTGGGCAGAATGAGAAGCCGGCTTCCCAGACTTAAAGCACATACAAGACCTGGTTAAAACACACATTCTAATTCAGTAGGTCAGGACCGGCCGGACCACATTTTTTTTTTTTTTGAAACAGGGTCTTACTATGCAGTTCAGGGTTCAGTCTGGCCTTGAGCTCACTTTGTACCCCAGGCTGGCCTTGAGCTCACTTTGTAGCCCAGGTTGACCTAGAACTCACAACAACCCTCCTGCCTCAGCCTCTGGAATGCTGGGATTACAGGCCTGCACCACCACGCCCGGCTCCCTGGACCATATTAAGTATGAAGGTCCTAAGTGAGCGTGGAACCCCAGTGAAGTCACTGTCTCTGATTCTTTTCTCTTATTTACTTATTTAGTGGTGCTAAGGATTGAACCCAGGGCCTTGGCCCTGAGCTACATTTGCAGCCCTTTTTTTAAGAAAATTGTTTTGAGACAGAGTCTTGCTAAGTTGCCCAGGCTGGCCTTGAACGTGTTCATCTTGCCTCAGCCTCTCCAGTGCTGGAATGCTAGGTGTATACCACCCCGCTCAGTGCCTAAGAGTTTATCTCCAGACATGTTCTATTTGAATCCTTGCTATACCTTTCTTATGCTTTTCTGTGATTTTGGTCCACACACCAAAAGCATATGTATGTTTGTGTGCATGTGAGCTTTATTAAAACATAAACATGCCCTTATGCGGATGTAATGATTTCTTTGAATTTGTGTCATTGTAAGCCGGGCGTGGTGGTGCACGCCTGTAATCCCAGCACTTGGGAAGCTGAAGCAGGCGGATCGTTGCGATTTTGAGGCCAGCCTGGAATACAAAGTGAGCTCAAGGCCAGCCTGAACTGCATAGCGAGACCCTGTCTCAAAAAGACAAAAAAAAGAATTTGAGTCATTCTTTATTTTGCCTATATCACTTGTATGTGTATGGTAGGAGGCTCCAGGACTTGAATCAGGGTTTTCACAATGAGCTACACCCCCAGCCTTTTTTTTTTTCTCTCTTGGTGGTACTGGGGATCAAACCCAGGGCTTCATATATGTGAGGCCAGGCAAGCGCTCTACCACTGAGCCACTCCCCACCCACTTGTCTCTTTTCTCTCTCATTACTAAATATACACTCACAGACACACACACACACGCACACACACACGCACACACACACACTCCTAAGGCAAGCAGGGATTTCAAATTGTCACGGTGGCAGAAACAAAAGACCAGCATTTAGAGAAGGAAGCCACAGGGCTGGATGCACTGCTGTGTTACCCTTCCGGTCATGTCTCCCTCTCTCGCTCTAGGAAATATCTCCACGCCCAGGATTCTTCATCACCCCAAGTCCGAGATCATTAAGGGACAGGCCGTAACAGTCAGTTGCCACTCGAGAAATGGGACTTCACCTATTACTTATTACCTGTTAAGAGGAAGTGATGTTTTAGAGAATATCACAAAGGCCTCAGATAAGCCCGCCGAGTTCCGAGACAGCCCCACCAAGGATGCAGAATACAAGTGCGTTGCAGATAACTGTCACTCCCACCCTGCAGTGTCCAGTGAGGTCCTGAGCATCAAGGTGATAGGTACGTTGCTGCGTCTCGAGAAGAAATCCCGAGGGGTTGGGACTTTGGTTACCATTTGGGGAGATTGGGGCTTACCCAGAGATTGTGGGGGCACTAGAATACATGGGTGAGACTTGCCCCAAGTCCATAAACCGGGTACACATCACGGCATAACCAGATCCAGAAAAAGGGGTTGGGAACTATTAGGGATCTCTTGATGTGGTCAGTGTAATCTCTTCGCAGACCTTTCGCGTGAACTGCTAAGACAGCACACGAGCGAACGTGTCCTGAGTTTATGAAGCACTGAAGTCGGGTGTTTGGCCCCCTTGGCTTTTGCTCCTTTTCAGATGAATGGAGAGGCCAGGCATGGTGGTGCACGCCTGTAATCCTGGCATTTGGGAGGCTGAGGCAGGGGAATCTCTGCAAGTGCAAAGCCAGCCTTGATTATGTAGTGAGACCCTGTCTCAAAAAACAAAAAAAATAAAACAAAACAAAAAATCAGGTGAATGGCGAGCCATCCTTGAGAACTGTAGGAGAACTGTAGGCCAGGGTGCTTCTGACTGGTGGCCCTGCTGGGGAGCTCTGTGTCTTGTGGTGCCTGCAGCAGTCAAAGCCGCAGGCCCTGGTCTTATGAGAGTTGCTAACATATGCTTGGAATTCTCATACCTTGAAGGTGGCTATTTTTCCTGGGGCTTCTTTCTTATGCCTCGCAAAAGACCTCAGAAGTTCCATTGGTTGTGTCTCCTAGGTATTCTGCACCCAGTGTAGGAAGCTTGCCGAGGTTTCCTCCTCTCAGTCCTTTGTTTAATAGCTGCATGCCATCACTAACATGCAGTTTATTAACTGCGTATTATGCAGTGAAGAACTAGAAGAGCTAGGCATGGTGGTGCATGCCTATAATCCCAGCACTCGGGAGGCTGAGGCAGGAGGATTGCTGTGAGCTCGAGACCAGCCTGGGCTACAAAGTGAGCTCAAGGCCATTCTGAACTGCATAGTGAAACCTTGTCTCAAAAAGACCAAAAAGAAAAAAAGAGCTAGAAGAAAGAAGGATTTGATAAAAATGAGTTCTTGGGAAGACTAATCTGTGACAGTATCATTAAGAAGAAGGAAATAGTTCATATCTCAGAAAACATTTTTTCTTTTTTGGTTTTAGGGTTTGTTCGTTTAGATTGGTGGGGTTTTTTTGTTTTGTTTTGTTTTGTTTTGTTTTGTCTTTTTGAGACAGAGTCTCATTTCATTTTTTTGTTTGAGTTTTGGAGTTTGTTTTTGTTTTTATTTTTTGAAAGAGTCTCACTGTGTATTCCAAATTGCTCTTGAACTCACTACATAGCCTGGCTGGCCTCAAATTCACAGCAATCCTTCTGCCTCAGCCTCCCAAATGCTAAGATTATAGACATGTACTATCTTGCCCTTGGGATATGTTTTTTTTTTTGTTTTTTTTTTGTTTTTCACAGTAGGAAATTTTATTGAAGGAGAGATGGTTCCCGAGAGAGACAGGCGGGAACTCAGAAAGTGGGTTGCCCTGGGTGGGACTTGTTAAAAATCAAATGCAGAAGCCCATGGGAAGCTATTGGTTGAAATTAAATTGCCATGTTGAGTGTGGTGGGACACGCCTGTAATCCAAGAACTCTGAGAGGCTGAGGCAGGAAAGCTGCAAGTTCAAGCCTAACCTAGGACACTTAGCAAATTCGCTTGACCTTGTCTCAAAATAAGAAATTTTAAAAAGGGCCAAGATCTAACTCAGTGCAAAGGCCCTTTGTTCAATTCCCAGAGGGTCCAAAATGGGGTCATCATTAGTAGTAACACTTACAGAGCTCTGATTGCTGTCCGAGCCTGTGTAAAGGATTGCAGTAAATCCTCCCTGTTCACACTTATACTAGCAGCGTGAGACTTGTTGTTGTAGTCTTGTTTGTGATGAGGCAGTTGAGGCAAATAGCTGGGGGGGGTGGGATTTGAGCCTGAACAGTCAGGCCCTGAGCCTCCGCTCCCTTTTGCTACACAAAGACAGAGGATGTCGGGTTGGGCCCTATCCTCTGGCCACTGCTTTAGTACGAGACCACTGCCATCCCAGACCTGGTGCTCAGCAGCTCCACGATCTTAAGACCCTTATGCTCACGAGAGCGTGACTTGTAAGTTAGAGGACCCATCTGCTGGCCAGCCCATTCTCACACAAGTAGGGCGGTCTGTCTGGGGAGACAGCTTAGGATCAGAACTCTGCTGGGTGAGCACAGAAGGCTAGAGAAAGCCAAGTTCAACCGGAAGTGCAAAGCGACAGGGGAGCTCTAGAGCCCCCGGCTGGGAGACGGAGGAACGAACGTGCATCACTGCATTTAATCGGCAGGCCCATGGTCTGAGAGTCACACACAATTTTTTTTGTTTCTGTTGTTGTTTTTAAACCACAGATAGATTGCAGTTTCAAAAATCAAAGGGGTAGAGAAGTCAGACTTCAGTAGCAAGGAAGTGGGAAATCAAGTTGTGAAAGCACAGAGGCAAGAGAAGAAAACCAGGATGCCAGCTAGAGCAGGCAGTGAGTCAAAGTTATTTGTAAGATATAAAAGTACCGTGCATACAGAACACACAAGTGCCGGGCGTGGTGGCGCACACCTGTAATCTCAGCACTCAGGAGGCTGAGGCAGGAGGATCGCTGAGAGTTCGAGGCCAGCCTGAACAGCATAGCGAGACCCTGTCTCAAAAAACAAACACAAAAACAGAACTCACAAGCAAGCCTCACCGTACAGCTGAGTGGTCCGTAATCCTCAAGGGGGCCGTGAAGGGAGCTGTCCCCAGGGCTCACATTTAATCGGTGAATGAGGGCAGGGTGTCTGTCACTGCCCTTCTGGGCTAATCATGGGTGAGAGGAAAGACTTAAATGAAGGTCGGGGCTGGGGATTTAGCTCAGCAGCACAGCGCTGCCTGGCAAGCACAAGGTTGTGAGTTCGATTCCCGGTACTGGAAAAAAACAAAAACAAAAAAAAATGAAGGGCACAGCCCAAATCCAAGTCATACCTGGAGCTGGCCGTGAGCGGGAGTCGTTTCATGTTCCTTCCCTGACGCCCGCCGTCGCTTGGCGCTAACCCTATTCCTGCTTCCAGCCCCCGTGTACCAGGTCAAGCTCACTATCCTGAGGAACCCCGAGGTGGAGTCTGGGAAGGAAATCGTGCTTCAGTGCTCCGTGAACGAAGGGACCGGTCCAATCACATACAGGTTTTACAAAGTCGGGGAGCCCAACCCCTTCCACCAAACCACCTCCAATGACACCCGTGTAATTTGGTACAAGGAGCAGGCTAGCAAGGAGCAGGAGGGTCAGTACTACTGCGTGGCTTCCAACAGAGCGAGTTTCACCGCGGGCAGCACCCAGAGCAACACTCTGATGGTCAAAGGTGAGTCAAGGTCTCAGCAGTGCGTGCAGCGTGGGCCTGAGGGGAGATGTTCCCCACCGGTTCAGCTCAAGTGACCAAGGGTTGAGACACACATCCTCAGGCTCTTTCATAGGAAGTGACAGAAACCCACTCAAATTAACTTAATGAGACAGGCCAGGTGGTGCACGCCTGCAATCCCAGCACTTGGGAGGCTGAGGCAGGAGGACCACTGTGAGTTCGAGATCTGCCTGGGCTACATAGATAGTTCAGGGGCAGCTGAGCTACATAGTGAGACCCTGTCTCAAAAAAAACAACCAAAAAAATAACTTAGTGAAAATTAGGAGTGGTGGATGAGGAATTGGAAGTATTTCATGCAGTCACAACTCTAAATTCTTGGCAGACACACACCAATCGACTCACCCTGGGTCACGTCTGCAGCTCCGAGGATTGAGTCACACAGGTGGGACATGGTCAGGGGAGCCCATTGATGTGGGGGGAACAGGGGCTTCCTAGGGAAAGAGGACAGTGGAACAGACGCCCCCAAAGTGGAATCTACCCAGCAAAGTTGGTTTGACCCCTCCTTGAAGACCACAACTGACCTCCGTGTATAACAGAAATAACTACTTTGCACCTGCAGTGACTACAGCATCCCTGAGGGAGCTGCTGAGGTTAGGCGCTACTTACAGAAATCGTAGCGTCAGTCTTAATTGTTGCTTAAGGCTGATATTATTGCTTGCTGGCAGAGAAAGACCCTATTTGATCGCTTTTCTCCCCTTTCCATCTGCAGTGTTTCTCGCCTCGTGGAAGAAAGTGCTGATCGCAGTCCTCGTCATCGGAATGGTAATCGCCACCTTGATAGTTGGAGCCCGATGCTATGTGCTGAGGAAAGCCAAAGGTGAGCGCAGTCCCTCCCCCGCTGTAACACGAGCCTTGTCAGGAAACAGGCCGGGACGTGCAGTGCCCTGAGGGAGCTGAGGAGAAGTCACTGATTGTTCTCCTTGGGGTGTCACCTTGATAAGAAAGATTCTGGCTTCAGGGGGCGTGGGGCTTTTGTTGCCCCTGCATTCAGCTGGGCAAAAATAAAAGTGATTGCTTCCCTTGTTGGGCAACCACCTCGGGGAAGAAGGGAAAAGCTGCCTTCCTCTCCACGTGGTCAGAGGAAGCTTTTCTGTGGGCTTTGGCCGCATCTGGTCCCAGAACTGGTAGTGAGTGTCACAGACACTGGTGCCTACACACACACGCACACACACACACACACACACACACACACACTAAATGCCTCCCAGTGAAGCTGCTGATAGTACCATGAGTTCTGCCCTGTGACTGAGGTTAGCCAGACATGGACGGGAAGCTGGGAACCCCCTCTGGCTCCTGGGAACCAGGTCCGTTAGCCAAGATGCAAGGGAAAGGATTCCTCATCGGTAAATTCTGAAAAGAAATTTTTTGGTGGCATAAGCTGGTTCTTTGGGAGCTCTGGTGCTGCTTTCTTGGATGGAAGGAGGCAGATGGGATAAGGGGTGTTACGGCTCATATCCAGATGTCCCCACAAAGTCTTATAGGTGGGGTTTTGGGCGGTGACAGAATCATGGGTGTGTGACACTGGATTCGTCCGCTGATGGGTTTACAGCTAGATGCGGTACGTGGTGGGAAAAGGCAGCTCACTGTGAGTGTGGCCTGGACTGGAGATTATATATGTCCCTCCTCCTGCTTTGATCACGCAATTCTTTCTGTCGGCCACACCATGAACTGCCACACTGCCCTGCCTTGGAGCCAGCCAGCTGTGGTCTGAAACCTCTACAAATCGTGAGCCAAAACAAACCTTTCCTCCTTTAACTTGTGGGTATCGGGTATTTTGTCCCAGCCACAAGAAAGTAAGACAGAATTTGGTCTCAGAGAAGTGAGGTCATTTCTATGATACTCTCTGGCCATGAGGTTGAGGAGCCTTTGGAACGGACTTGTGGGAAGAGTTTGGAGATACCCACTGAAGAAGCAGCTGTGGAATGCTGTAGGCTGAGCTTGCTGGGAGATTCTGGCTGGAGCTCAGAAGGTCAGAATGTTCTTAGAAATGTAACTGGTAAAGACCAGGCTCAGGAGGTTTCATTTGAGAAGGACTCCATTGGCAGTTGGACTTCAGGCCGCATGTGTTATGCTGTGGCAGAAAACTTGCCTGCATTTTGCTCATCCCCTGAGACACTGCAGAAGACTGGGATGAAGGGCGGTAGACTAACCTGGCAGAAGAAATTTCAGTGCAGCCTAATGTTGAGGTAGTGCCATGGCTACTATGTGTTGTTGTTGTTTAGCTAGGTCTGTAGGAATTGAGAGCAAACAGCCCAGCAGAATGACTTTAAACGTTTTGAGTTGGGCCAGAAATGAGGCTCCAGTAAAGTTTATCTTGTGCCACTGTATGTTGGTAGTGTTTAACTTTCTTTTCCTTTTTACAGGAGCTCATAGCTAAGAGTTTGCTTTATTTGGACTTAGACTTTTTAGCAATGCTGAAACTGTTAGGACTTTGATAGCTCTTTTTTTTTTTTTTTTTTTTTTTTTTTTTTTTTTTTTTTTTTATTTTGTTTTTGAGAAGGGTCTCTCTATGTAGTGCAGCCTGGCCTGAACTCACCACATAGCCCAGGTTGGCCTTGAACTCAGTCAAACTGCCTCAGCCTCCCAAGGGTTGAGATTATAAGCATGTACCACCATGCCCAACAGGATTTTGGCACCTCTTAAGAGATGGACTAAATCCATTTTGTATAAAGAGATGCATATGAGAGCTGGGCGAGGTGACGCACACCTGTAATCCCAGCACTTGGGAGGCTGAGGCAGGAGGATCGTTGTGAGTTCAAGACCAGCCTGGGCTACAAAGTGAGCTCAAGGCCAGCCTGAACAGCGTAGGGAGACTCTGTCTCAAAAAGACAAAACAAACAGACAAAGAGATGCATATGAGTCTTTTGGAGGCCAGGGGAGAAATGTTATAGCTTATGTCTAGGTGTCCCTTCAAAGCCTCATGTGCTGGAGCATGGGTGTGAGACGCTGAATTAGTTCACTGATGGTTTTATATCTGCGTGAGATATCGGGAGAAGATGCCTGGGGGGAGGAGGTGGTCACTGTGGGCATGGCCTGGATATATCTGTATATATCCCTCCCGCCTTGAGCATTCTCCGCCTTCTGCTTGCTGCACCATGAACTGTTTCTCCTCTGCTGTTCCCCTCTTCCATGCCGTCCTGCCTTGGAGCCAACTGACTATGGACTACAATCTCTATAAACTGTGAGCCGAAATAGGCCTTTCTTCATTTAACTTGAAGATGTCAGGTAGTTTGTCCGCAAAATAAGAACATAACTAAGACAAGGATTTTTTTCTCAAGCTGTAACTCCCTGGGAAGTGATAGCTTCTAAACAAACACCTTCCAAAGACTGTTTGAGAGGTTGATCTCAAGCTACCTTGGAAGTAAAAGTTCAAGGAATCAACTTAGCTTTTCAATTTTTGGAATTGTCTTAAATCAAAGAGGTAGCTGCCCCCTTATGTGGTTGTTGTTGTTTGTTTGTTTTTTGTTGTTGTTTTTCTTCCAGTACCAGGAATTGAACTCATGACCTCATGCTTGCCAGGCAGGCGCTATGCCACTGAGCTAAATCCCCAGCCCCGCTGCCCCCTTATGTGACTAATCTGGCTTCTATCCCAATGTCTTCATCTCCATCACACCCCACTTGCAAAAATTGCTTCTGTCTGAAATAACCAAACTGTCAGATATCTGGGGAAGTGATGTGAAATCTCTGTTTAAGACCAAGAAAAAACATCTCTTCCTTGAAATGAAGTCTCACTATGTTGCCCAGCGTGGTCTTGAACTCCTAATCCTCCTGCCTCAGCCTCCCAAGTAGCTGGGATTGCCACTGAGCCCGGCTCAGGAATACACCTCTTGCTTCCTTTCCTTTTTCTGACTTTCTTTTTCAAGCATGAATATATCTAGCTTTCTTTCCTCTCTCTCCCTTTCCTCCCCCTCCTCTCAGTGCTGGGGCTTGAACTCAGGGCCTTGTACACGCAAGGCAAGAGCTCTACCACTGAGTCACATCTCCAGCCCTTTCTTCTTTTTTAATGGGTACATAATCTTCAGGAAAGTCAAATGTGGTTGAAATGACTGGTCCTTTGGTATGCACATGGATACTTTATACTGATCTTGGTTTTTCTTTTTCTTTTTCAAAGCCAAGCAGATGCCTGTGGAAATGTCCAGGTCAGTGTCCTTGTAAGAGTGGGCAGCTGCTTTGTGGGCATGGCTGGAATTTAGCTGTGTGGAGGGTCTGGTCACTGGGCAGTTCTGAGTCTTGGCAAATTCAGATAAATAAGAGTCTTGGGTATGTCGTGTGTGTGTGTGTGTGTGTGTGTGTGTGTGTGTGTTATGTGCTAGTCTTAGTGGATGATTTCTAGCTATCCTTTCATGGGAGGAAATGGCTTTTATGCTGAGATCATGTCCTTTCTAGGTAAATATTTATTTGTTTGCCTTTTTGAGACACAGTCTCACTATGCAGTTCAGGCTGGCCTTGAGCTCACGTTGTAGCCCAGGCTGGGCCCAAACTTGCAGCGATCCTCCTGCCTCAGCCTCCCAAGTGCTGGGATTACAGTCACGCACCACCACACTTAGCATAGACAAATATTTGTGAAATCCCTTTTCTTTATGAAATTATAATGGAAGTAGAGGGAAAATGACAATTTGACTTACTGGCAAACTAGAATTGCCCTTTAAATTTTTTTTTTTTTTTACTACCTTTATTGTTCTTGGTATTCAAAATCCAAGAGTACAGAAATAATTGCTGTGCTGTGGAGAGAAACAGCAGCACAGGGTGAGGATTTAAGGAAATTCTTTTTCTTTTTTGGTACTGGGAATCAAACTCAGGACCTTCTGCTTGCCAGGCAGGCACATGTGCCACTGAGCTATATCCCTGGTCCCACAGTGAGGATTTAAGGAATTGAGAGTGGCTTAGGTATTCATGCACTCTTTGACCCTGACACTTACCGTAACAGCAGAAAGTTTGGTCAAATAATCTTAGAACTGAAACACATGTCAGTTTCCCAAACATGTGCCTAAAGCTTTTTTCCTTTAGAAAGTTCTTCTTGTTTTCATATGATTTTCCTTTAGTGATTTTGCCGGTTTGGAGTTACGGTGGAAAAATGCTTAATATATATATATTTCCTTTTGAACTTTTATTTTAAGGCCGGCAGCGCCGCTTCTGAAATCCAACAATGAAAAGGTGTCAGAGCCTAACAGCGAAGCCAACAGTCATTACGGTAAGGTCCTGATTTCCCTCAGTAAGAGCTTCCCTGTAAGTGGGTGGGGTTAAAACTAGAAGGGAAGCCCTGGGCTTCCGGCTGGGACACCTGTCCAATCACCCGATGGACGGTGACCTAACCACCACCAAAGCAAAAGGCACTGGAAAGGCAGAACATTTTATTCCATTTTCACCACCTTCTAAATGTCCTGTGAAATGAAAAATGGAGACTCATCTTAATACTTTGATACCTGCAAATACTGAATATTGCCCAAAGATAATCATTCTGCATTGTCAAGGCAGAGGCCAGATAGCAAATTAAAACCCTCGTAAAGCATCTTGTGAGATGGAATTATTATCAGCACAAGACAGTTTGACTTTCACAAAGGGAAACCAATGTAAAGATTTTGCTCTTAGTGAAAACATTTTTTAAAAAAGCCCAGTGAAGGGATACTTGTTATGAGGCTTATCCCAGGCTTGCAGGTC